TTTTCTCAATCATATGGGATAACAATTTTTTAACATTTATTTTTTGAAATTTTGAGTTCCACATCCTCTCCCTTCATGCCTACCCCCTCCGTGAGAAGGCAAGCAATTTGATACAGATTATATAGAGCAGTCATCCAAAATATATTTCCATATTAGCCATTTTGTTCAAGAAAACAAAAAAAAAACTGAAGAAAAGTAAAGGAAAAAAAGTATGCTTTGATCTGCATTCAGACTCCATCAGTTCTTTCTCTGGAAATGGAAAGCATTTTTCATCATAAGTCCTTTGGAATTGTCTCAGTTCTCTGTATTGTTGAGAATAGCTAAGTCATTCACAGTTGTTCATAGTACAATATTACCATTATAGTACAATGTTTTCCTGGTTTTGCTCACTTCACTTAGCATCAGTTCATGTAAATCTTTCTGAAGTCTTTAAGGTTTTTCTCAAATCTGCTTGCTCATCATTTCTTATGGAACAACAATATTCCATTACATTCATATACCATAACTTGTTCAGTCATACTCCAACTGATGGACATCCCCTCAATTTCCAATTCTTTGCCACCACAAAAAGAGCTGCTAGAATTATTTTTGTACATATAGGTCCTTTTTCTTTGATGTTTTTGAGATATCACCTAATAGTGGTATTGCTGAGTCAAAGAGTATGAATAGTTTTATAACCCTGTGGGAATAGTCCCAAATTGTTCTCCAGAATGATTGGATCAATTCACAACTCTACCAATACTGCATTAGTTTTCCAATTTTTCCATATCCCCTGCAACACTTGTCACTTTCCTTTTCTGTCATATTAGCCAAACTGATGAGAGTGAGGTGGTATCTCAGAGTTGTTTTAATTTGCATTTCTCTAATCAATAGTGATTTAAAGTTTTTTTTCCATACGAAAATAGAATGCTTTGATTTCTTCTTCTGAAAACTGCCTGTTCAAAAACTCTGACACGAAACATTTTTTTCTAAAGGCAATATGTGGTACTGAGTTTTATGTTATGTTTTTCAACATTCTCATTCAGAAGATGCAAATCTTTCAGTTAAAGTTAAGTTTGTTTCTATATTTTCCTTTTTGTTTGTTAGATTTGTCTAACTCTGAGACAGGAATACTAAAGTCTCAGAATTATTGTGTTACGATCTGAGGCCTTTTTACAATTCAGTTAAACTTTTCTTTTATGAATTCAGAAGCTATGCCATTTGGCAAATAACTATTTAGTATTAATATTCATCCAATGCTACTAGTTTCTTTAAGGATAAGGAAATTAAATTCACTTAGATTCAATAAGAATTTGCTGCATGCCTATCATTGGCCTAGGAATTCAGAAATATGTGGGGTTTTAGTCAAAAAGTCTTTTGATCTTGTCTTCTGTTGTCTTGCTTTTGACATGAATATAAATAAGGATATCAAATTCTTAAGCTGATCAGGAGAACAAAAATGAGAAATAATTTAGTTTACCCCACACTTGATGGATGGGGCTCAGAAAAGGGACAGGTCTTGTATTCAAAGCTGGAAAGGAACTGAGGGTCATCAAATTCAATCCCCTAAGTTTAGAGATGAGGGAAGTGAGGCACAGATAGGGTAAGTCAATGTTCCAACGTTCGACAGCTAATAAGTCTCTGAGGCAAGATCTAAACTCAGGTTTTCATGATTCTAAACCCAATAGTTTATGCCCACCTCCCTGCCACCACTTTGCTTCTTACACAGGGACCTGTCCAAAGTGACACAGGTAGTATGAAGGAGAGCCAAGACTTGAATGTAAGTCTGCTGCATCCAAACCTTGTGTTCTCTCCACTCCACTCCACAATCTCTTGTCAGCAGAAGTGAATACATTTGGACAAAAGCTGAAAACTTATTAGGAAAATTGGCTTTTCCTTTACACAAAGTGACTAATGTGGAAATATGTTTAATATGACAATACATGTATAGCCTATATTGGATTGCATACCATCTTAGGGAGGGGGAAAAATTTAGAACCCAAAATCTCACAAAAGTAAATGTTGAAAACTAAAAATAAATGAATTAAAAAAAAAAAGAAAAGTGAGCACTTAAAAACAAAACAAAAAACAAACAAAAAAAAGAACTTACCTTTAAGCGAATATCAATCCACACTTTCTAGAAATCTCATTTTGCTAAAAGCAGAGCATCCAAAAATGCTTGATTTGCTTCCCTAACAATTTCATCTCTCAGAAGGCAAAGGCAGCAAACAAGAGATTGTTATTCTGTATGTAATTCTCACCAACACAGAAGGCTGATAATATGAAAATGATGGGAACCTTAGAGAAGAAAGTGATTGTTACCCTGGAATGCATGCCAAATGAAAGGAAGTCTTGGCCTAGTCAGACATATATCCCAGACTCTAGAAAAATTAATTTCAAAAGTTTAGGGAAGACAGGCATGATCCCAGGTCTAAAGACTCCAAATAGTCAAAAAGAAAAGGAACATCTAAAACATAAAAAATCTGACTAGATAATAATCCCAAAGAAGAAATAAAGGGAACCAACAAAAGAAATTAGACTGATTGCACAGGGATCTCTCCAACAAACTCAAACTTGAAACACAGGGGAGGGGGTAGGGAATAACCACAGATATATAAAAGTTCAGCGTGTTATTCTGCTGAGTAAGGAGAAATGTTAAAAGTACACTAGTAATCTCAAGCAATTAGTGAAGAGAACTATTTATTAGAAAAATATAAAAAAAATACCAGAGAATGCTAGCAATCATTTAGATATGTAAGATATGAGCTCATATATTTCTGTTTTTACACCAATTGTCATTTTGAATATTAACTGTCAATGTGAAGATAGTAAAAGCTTAAAATGGGGTTAGAAAGAAGACTGGCTTTGGGAAACTCAGTTCTCTTTCAAAGAAAACCAAAAAGCAATGGATGAACTACAGGAATAACACCACTTTTTTATGTGCCACATGCTCTCAGGGCATCTCTATGAGCTATAGCAACCAAGGCTACAACTATCAAGCCTAAAAGCAGAGATAGTTCTGGCCTGGGCAGCATCGACCACACCTGCTTCTACACACAGGGGCCACTCAGGGACCATACAGCTTCTGGTTGCTCACATGAGTCTAGAAAATATCTTATATTTTGTATACTCATAGTAACAGGCTGGGACAATGAGCTAAAATGAACCAGATGATATTTAATAAAGGCAGCATGACATGAGACAAAAGCATTGGACTTTACAGTCAGGAAGTCTGGGTTTGAATCCTGTTTCACAGTTACTAGCTATGTGACCCTGGATAAGTCACTAAATCCCTCTGAGCTTCAATTTCCTCATTTGCACGATCTAAGGTCCCCTTGAGCTCCAGATCTATGACACTATGATTCTAACAGGAATAAGCAAAGTCTTCCATTTAGGTTTAAAAAATCAATTGTACAAGTACAAGATGGAGAAGACCTGGCTTGACAGAAGCCCATTTGACAAAGGCCTAGATCTTTTCATTGACTACCATCTCAAAATGAGCTAACAGTATGATGAGGCTGCTAAATAAAGATAATTTGACTTAGGCAACATTAACAGAGGTATAGCATCATGAAAAGTAGGAGAGAACAGTTCCATTCTATTCTGGGCAGGTCAGCCTATATTTATTATGCTATGTTATACGTTACATGCTACATGGTAAGAAGGACATTGACCATCAGAAGAAGATACAAATGAGGACACTCAGAATGGGGAAGAGTGTGAAAATTATCTCATGTAAGGATCCAGCCCAAGAACCAAGTAAGTCTAACCTGGAGGAGAAAAGACTAAGGCCAGACAAGGAAGCTGTTTTAAAATACTTTAGGATTATATGCAAAAGAGGGAGTTAACCATTGTTCTACAGTGCAGATATAAGACCAAGAGCAAGAAGAATTTGGTTAATTCTAAGGAAGAAGTGTGTAATAATGTAATCAGATACTCTTCATCACAGAAAATGATTCAGTAAGAAGCTGCATGACCACCTGCCAGGAAGGCTGTAGGAGAGAATCCTGCATGCAGAGGAGACTAGGCTAGATTAGAAGACAACCTCTCGGTTCTCTTCCTTATGAAGAATTCTATGAGTCTCATTTAATCAAACACAGGGAGCTATGGCACAGGAAGCTTCTCACCCTATGGCTGCTTTCTACTCAGAGGAAAGCAAGCACTGGGTGAAATTGCTTTCATAACCTACTTAAATGCTTGGTTAAATAATTAGAAAACCTTGGAGTTTTCTTAAAAATTATTTTGATAGCTTCATATTTCTTTTCAAATAAAGCTGAGATATTTGAAAGCTTATTCTATATTTTTAAAATAAAATATACTTAAATACTCAAAATTGACCCTCACAAACTTATATTGAGAATTTTAACAATTTCAATATTCAAAAGCTTTCCTTCTTTTCCTGAAAGAATGCAAGAACATGTGTTCTATTGCCAAAATGTTATTTAGAAAAGTCTCTTGACTGAGTACCAGAGCTTAGGCTCCCATGCTGCCTGACTCTAGACCCATGACCTGAGCCAGTCCCGCCCTGCACTCTCGTCTTCTTACCTAAGGAATTCTCACTAATACTGGAGGCAGCAGTAGGAAGGAGCAGTCAAAGGGCTTAGCTGCCTGAAGTGACGTCCTGGCCCTCCCCAGAGTCTATCAATGTTCTTAAGCCCTTCTGGCCTCTCTTCTACAATCTCATTTTATAAGAAAGGACACAGGAAAAAATGATTTCTCAACCAAAAGCCAGAGGTGGTCATTTTTAACACTTTTCATTGTGCCATTAAAGTAAATATAAAAATCATAAACTAAGAGATATTATGCTTAAGGATACAGAAATTGGAATAACCTTTTACCAGAATGAAGTGACTAGTACCTGCCATATATAATGTTCCAGTGTTTTCTTTTAAAGCCTCTGTTGGCAAAAAAAATCTATTATATGTGAAATCAACTCTCATTTCAATTTATAACAAAATATCTTTTTTTGAGACATAAAAACATTCATTAATTATACAAATAAATTTAATTTATATACATACAAAATCAAGGAGTCTTCCAAATTGGAGCCTTCGTGAGACACTGGAGGTAAAACACTTGACTTCCTTTCTTGCTCACTTTCTCTGTCAGTTATATCATCATCTATGTAAAGAATTTAAATGTGAATAAAAAATGTGCCGACATAAAAATCATTTTACTGTAATGACTACTGAGTATCCTGAGATGTGCAACCCAAGACTTAAAGATTAGGCCCAACAAACCTAACCACTAGACAGGAAAAATACACAGTGGAAAAAATTTGATATAGGCTTAAATTTGCCTTCATGCTTAATTTCATCCCACCTATACTATGGAACAAATACCGGGGCTAAGTATATATCCCATTCATTCTCACAGTTGTAAAATCACAACACAAATTAATTGCTGCAGTCATAACATCATAAAAGGCCACATCATGGAATGATGTTTCTGGAATGTCTACATTGCTCGTTGTGTATCTTCCTCTCTCCTAAAATGTGTTTATCTTTTATGTATCCATCCCTGTACTTCCTTATGTCTGCTCTTTTCTTTTTCTTCTTTCTTTTCCCTTGCATCTGTATCTTCATTTTCTACTCATGTTCATTATCTGTCACATTTACTATTTATATATTCTATGTTAATCTTGAAAAGGGATGTGGGTTATATTTCATAGTATCACATCATTTAATTAATGGAAGAAATCTCATTCTATTCCCTTGTTTTATACTCTTGTAGAAGGAATTTAATTCCTTTTTATGTGTGTGGATTTGATTTTTCTTGAGTAAATGGGCTCTTCAAAATAAAAATATCCTCAACCCAATTTATATAATTATATTACATTGATCCTCTGGTACAGATTAATAACACAGAAAGGTCAAGTAGGTGAAGAAATACTTAGATAGATATGTATACATATACACATGTATATATAAACATACATATATCTATATATACACACACATATACATGTCTATCTCCATTACACCATGCTGCCTCATATACATACATGTACGAAGCAACACAGTATAGTGGAGAGAGAAGCGGCCTTGAAGTCAGGAAGACCTGGCATCATGCTCTGCCTATGACACATCTTGGCTGTGTGACCCTAGATAAATCACTTAACCTCTCAGTGACCCAGGCAACTATCTCATATTTTAAGTTGCTGAGCAGGTACCAATGTACATTGGGAGAGGAAGTTTCTTATATCAATGAAGTCACAGATCTGGTCATATCTCCCTCCAGTTGTATATCTGTGTGTGTATGTGTATGTACGTACACAAAAATGCAAATAATGCTTTAAGGTTTACAAAGCACTTAAACATACATCATTTCATTTGATCCTCACAGTAACTCTGTGAGATGGGTACTACAGATATTGTCCTTACTTTACAGATGAGAAAACTGAGGCTCACAGAAGTTAACATCATTTGCTCATGGCCCCATGACTAGTAAGTCCTGGGGCCAGGGTTCAAAATCAGGTCTCTTCTGACTCCACCGCCAGCATTCCTTCCTTTACACCAGATTGCCTTTCCAGTAATCCTGTGAGCAAAGAAAGTGCTTTGTAAACCTAAAAAGCCCTATATCAGTTATAATTATTATGATCAAAATTATTAACAAAGTTAGAGTACAGGAATCTCACGTGGCACAAAAAATCCAATTAATTAAGCAGAAGAAAATCAATTTTAAAATATGAGAACTGCAGAGGCACTAGAAAATAACTAAAACAGCCAGAATCCTATATCTATAAATAAGAATGTATCTTTTTTCCACATTCATTTTTCTACAGGACACATGAAAACATATTTTTAATACATCAGAGTAAAACAAGATCTGCAGAAGTTGTCAGAAATGGAAATAATTTTAAACCTTCTGGCTTTTCAGTTAATAATTAAATGGGATGGGGGAGGGCGCAATGCTTTCTTTCAAAAAATACAGTCTTTTAGTTCACCTTCATAGTGAAGTGCACAGGTTATATTTATGTAATTATAGGCTACTGAGTTGTATCTTGAGGAGTAATCAGTGCTTTAGGCCCAGCTTGGGGAACTCTTGAGCTCTATTCCTGGCTCTCAGATGACTTATTTTAGTCTCAAGGTCATAACAAGTCATGAGTCCCTCTGAGCCTCAAAAAACCCCCCAATATTTACTAATGGAGAAATAAATCAAGAAAGATTAGAATTTATTTGTAAAAGTTTTTTTTTAAACTAGAAAATATATATACCTCTTAGACAACAATGATTTAATGACATACTTGCATTTAATTTTAAAAGTAAATATTAATATTTTCATCTTTTAAGAAAAGTTGTACAATTTATGTTTTAAAGAAACAAAGCTGCTCTTTCCATCAGTGAGGTTGTACATACCTCTCCTTGTCTCCTACACTTCAAAGTCAGTGTCTGTCTGGTGGTATAAAAAAAAAACCAGCCACTCCCCATTAAGGTTATGGATGATACTTGATCACAGCAGCTTGCTACAAAACATTACTATGAAAGGTGGTGGTGACTGGAACCTAACTTCAGGGTATACTATGGTTGGAAATGCATTTTAATTTCTCTGGCTAAACTAGGGTTTGTAGTCATCTGTACTTTATAAGGCAAAATATAATTTATAAGGAAAATTATAAGGACTTAATGGTCAAAAAAGTGCCTTTTAAAAAGTTTAGTGAAGTCTGACCATGTATTCATAACACTTTGAAAAAGGAGTTGCAGAGGCAGCTAGGTGGCACAGTGCATAAAGCACCGGCCCTGAAGTCAGGAGGACCTGAGTTCAAATCCAGCCTCAGACCAAACACTTGACCCTTATTAGCTGTGTGACCCTGGGCAAGTCATTGTCACTTAACCCCCAACTGACCAAAAAAAAAAAGGGAGTTACAAAGGAAAATATAATTTCTGTCTGTCTGTTTCTTTCTTGTATCCTCTAGGTGTATTCCAGGGCAGAAAAAGTCTCATTCTGTCTCTGTAATCCAAAGTTTTGCATAATCCCTTGTAGATGGCTGGTGCTAAGTAAGTGTTTGCTGAATTGAACTGAATTTAAAATATCTGGAATTTTGATGACAATTTGCAGTTTTAATTAAAATCTGTTCAACGTTTTGCATTTCCTTTACATGGGTTAACCCGTGAGCAAATTTACAATGGAAGAAAAAACTACGGATACTTATTTTGTCAGATAGAGCTCTCCTGTTATCTCTTCTCTAGAATTACTTCAATATAGGCCAGGTCCCTAAGAAGTCGAGTTAGCACCTATCAGATTGGCTAACATGACAAAACGGGAAAATGTTTTAAAAAGTAAATGGAGAAGATGTGGGAAAATTGGAACACTGATGTACTGGTGGTGGAGTTGTGAACTGATCCAACCATTCTGGAGAGGAATTTGGAACCATGCCCAAAGGGCAATCAAACTGGGCATACCCTTTGACCCAGCAATACCACTACTAGGTCCGTATCCCAAAGAGATCATAAAAATGGGGAAAAGACCCACCTGTACAAAAATATTCATAGCAGCTCTTCTTGTGGTGGCAAAGAATTGGAAATTGAGGGGATGCCCATCAACTGGGGAATGGCTGAACAAGTTAGGGTATATGACTACAATAGAATACCACTGAGCTGTAAGAAATGATGAGCAGGCAGATTTCAGAAAAACCTCAACTGAGGCTGAGTGAAGTGAGCAAAACCAGGAAAACATTGTACACAGTAACAGCCACATTGTGTGATGATTGACTCTGATAGACTTAGCCCTTCTCAGCAATGCAAGGATCTAAGACAACTCCAAAAGACTCATGATAGAAAATGCTATCCACATCCAGGGAAATAACTATGGAGTATGAATGCAGATTGAAGCATGCTATTTGATCTCTTTTTTTTTTTTTGTTTTGCTTCTTCTCCCTTGTGGTTCCTCCCATTCGTTCTAATTCTTCTTTACAACATGACTAATGTGAAAATATTTAATAAGAATATATATGTAGAGGTTATATCAGATTACACGCTGTCTTGGGGAGGAGGGGGAGGAGTGAGGTGGAGAAAACTTAAAACTCAAAAACTTATGAAAGTGAATGTTGAAAACTAAAAATAAATTAATTTATAAAAGAAGTCAAGTTAGCAAGAGTTAGGAAGAATGAGACCTTAATATAACCTTGAAAACCAACCACACACACACGCACACACACACACACACATACCCCAACTACCAAAAAAATAGAGGGAAGGGAAATAGTAGCAGCATGGGACCCATAAGCCTACAGGAGCAATTATGTTATCCTGTTAAAAAAGGTTGTTGTATATTATTATTGTATTTTTGGGGGGGTAGGTGCAGGGGAAGTTCCTGGTGGGAAGTGAATTTGTGGGAATCTTCATTTCATAAAGCAAATCATGATTTATGTGAACTCAGTAAAGTGGATCTACCACCGTATCTCTTGTTGTCTTTAGTTAACATGCTACATTAAGGTTGGCTGCCCTGCCATGTGCTGAGGAAGTACCTAAATCACATAACAGTGGGTGTTAAAATCAAATGTACATACCCTTTATCAATAGTAAAGTGTTACTTGTAACTGCTTCATTCACCAGGGTCATGGCTTGGATATATTCTGTGATGAAAAAAAGAGAAGAGGGTGGAGGCACGGGGCAGGAATGTGCTGGGCTGTTCAGTTCTTGAGAAACAACAAATGGTAAAAGCATAAAGAGAACTCCTAATTCATAAAACAAAACAATCAGTTCAGGATGGAATTAAGTTTCAGAACAGTGAAAGAATGCTGATGTTGGGGCCAAACCCAGACAGTGTTAAAGATAATCTGTACACTGGATAAATGCATTGACTGTGCAAACATTATGTTAGCTTTTCTTCCAAAAGGCCACCAGGTAAGGCTGTTTTAAATGACAATATAATGATAAAAGCCCAGTAGTTTCAAGAGTAAGTACCTTGTCCTCATAGCCCCAAATGCCCATAACATGTTAAAAGAGAATGGGCCACTAAAGCAAAAATGACAAACATAACAAATTATTTTGTTTCTCTCCAATGGCACTAGGGATAGTTTCATTAGAACTGGAACATGAATAGGCCACACTGGGCAGTCAGCTAATTCAGCTCTTTCATCCAACTGTTCTTGAACTCAAACTCCTCCTTCATACCTTGATTTGTTGCTGAGCCATCTTTGATCTTTTGTTTGAGTGACAATAGTACATTCTGCACATGTTCAAATATCATGTCCACTTTTCCATCCTCTTCTAGCTCCCTCCAAAAAGCTTTTGCATCACCTGGAATACAAATATTATGTTAAAACAGAAGGAAGATGTTAGGGTAGGGGGTGGGAATCAGAGATCTTCCTACAAAGTTTAGATGCAGAAATAAGCTCCATTTTTAGAATACATGACAGTATCAGTGAGGTCAATGTTTCTCCATTGCTCCATGAAGAAAAGCAAAAAACTAATAAAAGAAATAATTTAATTTTTAAAAACTATTAGCACAAACAAATCAGTCTCCTTTTGGAAAATGATTTCAAGTTGTCAGGCAGCAAAATGGTCATATTTTCTACAGTCAAGATAAACTGCTATTTTCAAAAGATTTGTTGAAAAGCTCACATTCTTAAAAATTCCAGAGCTATACAATTAATCTATCACTCCTGTATGCAGGGGGCATCACGAGAATAAGTTACGGTATTTTTTACCTTTCATCCTTTTCCAATGCTCATATAAAATAAAACAGGTAAGATTTCCTACATAAGGGCAGACTGCTACATAATAGTACCTCAACTACAAAGCAAAGAGTTAACTAACTAAGGAGTGCTGGAAACACTCCTAGAGACAATCTTCGAAAAGCTGAAATCAGAAATGTGAAAGGTAATTAAAATTAACTGGCAGAAGCCACACCTCATAATATCATATCGAGAAGTGGTGTAAGCAGGAACTTCTCAAATATTAAGCACATTTTATTTATAAAACGTTAGTATGGCACTGATCAGGTAAAATTAAGATGTTAGGTCATAAAATGGACTAAATATTAATGGATGAATGGTTTCTGTCATAAGATAAGTTTTCGCTTAATGGCCCAGTTCTCCATGCATGTGAATTAAAATTCATACTGTACTCCTCATGTACCAGTAAGTCAACATGCATTTGCAAAATACCCACTGTGCTAGGGACCTATAGGTGATCCTAAGAGTGTAAGACATATGATCCCTATCTTCAATGAGTTTATGATCTAGTTGGGAAGAATAGATATTACGTATGAGGATTAAAAAAAGCCCATCATTTTTGTCAAGGCAACCTATTTTCCCAGAGGCACATAAGTGCATTTCTAAGGGTACAACTACATTCACATAGGGGAGAATTGAGGTAAATATCCAATTAATCAAGCAAAAGATATATCTGTCTAAAAAGCTTAAGGTGTAGGTGATTGTTTTGGTGTAAATGAACTGACTGCTTTAATTCTCCTTTCCAAACATGTATGTTCAACAAAACGTCCACTATACCACAAACATTGTACAAGTGGCTACATTAGGTGCAGAACATTGGATAAGAATAATGAGCTGTAACTGGCACTGACGGAGGGAGCACCTGCATTGATGAGACCACAAATCCACTACCCAAACCACCACAACAAGTAGTAACGGTACCAAGAATCATATCCTACAAGAATTCCTAACCAAAGGATGATTGTCTCTCTGAGTACCAAGGAAGGAAGGAACAGTGTCTATTCCCCATCCTTCTACAATACGACTTCCATTTTCACCATTCTGATGACCTTGCAGTCTCTCTATGGTTTCCAGGTGTCCCTTAACTTCCAAATCCAATGCACTTTTCTTCACCTTCATCCCTCTGGAGCTTTAGACATCATGTGACACCACAGCTCACCCTCTGCTTCTTGGTTCTCTCTTCCACCTTGGCTTTGGTGACGCTGCTGCCTTCTGCTTCTCCTACCTGTCTCCTTGCTCCTTCTTAGTCTCCTTGTTTGCTTCTTTAAGTGTAGGCATTTCTCAAGGATCTATCTTCAAGTTCTTTTCTTCTCTCTCTATACTCATGCCCTTAGAGATCTAATCCCATGGTTTTATTTATTATCTCTATGGAGATTCCATTAAACATAACAAATATTTATTAGGTGCCTACTACGTGCTAGGCACTAGGGATAGAACAACAAAAATAAGATATATTCACTATTCAAGAAGCATCATGAAGACTTAAAAATCCATATATTTGCTCTTCACATATTCCTTGAGATCCAGTCCCACACTTCCAGTTACCTGCCAACACCTCAAATTTAACATCTCCAAAATTGACATGATCGATTGTTTCTTAAAACAAAACTCTAATTTCACCCCAAGTTCCCCATTCATGTTGACCCTCCTTCCCTTTCTAGCCATCCAAGCTCAAGGAGGAGAATCACTTTGAACTCTTCCTTCCTCAATCCATTCAGCTGCCAAGTTCAGTGAATTCTACTCCACATGATCTCTTGCACCCCACCTCTCCTCTTCCATCCCATTCTAAGTCCTGGCTCTCATTTTCTTAAGTGGATCATCATTATAATTCACAGAGTTCTTTAAGATTTTGCAAAACACTTTCTAAGAATTATCTCGTTAGATCCTAATAATAAACCTGTAAGGTAGATACTATTATTACAGAATAGGAAACAGAAGCTGGAATATGTCAAGTAGTTTGCCTAAGTAACTGACTCCAAGTTCAATACCACTACACCAACCTGTTAATTGATCTCTTGTCTTTCTATCTTTCTCCCCTCCAACTGAACTTTCACAAACCTGCTAAAATGATCTTTCTACTCCCCTTCACTAACTTAACATTCCAGTCAAGCTGAATTATTAACTGTTCCCTGATCTCATCTTGTCCTCTTGAGCCTCCACACCTGAAATGCACAACCTCCGTACCTTAGATTCTTATATTAGGTCCCAAAATTTTAAACTACAAGTAATAAGTTCACTTAACCCTTTTCCCCCTAATAATAGTGACCAAGCCCAGGGTGACAAAGATAACCTAATGATATGGAAAGTCTCCCAGCTATTTTTGGTGTCCCTCTTCGCCTTTCATATTCTCTCCCTACATCCTATGCCCATCTTCTGGTCCTAGACCGGATTGGATTGTAGGTTTTCTTGGAGGGTAAAGGTATAAATCTATCAACCAATGAGAACCTGTATTTTACTCTGTGTCATCTGTATCATCTGGGTACTGAGTGGTACGTGGGTACCAGTATCAGTGAAGACCCCTCAGGACATGATCCCCCTTTTTTTCTTTCCTTTAGTTGTATAAGCAGAAATTCCTGAACTATAGTGTATTCTGTTTATCTCATCCTCTAGCTACATGACCTTGGGTAGTAGACTGAAGTCATAAGGCCCCAAAAGGAAGGGGAACCTGTTGCGGTTACTGTACTCCTTTGTTCTCTTTGTTGCTGGGGAAGATTTACGTGAATAGATTGTGCCCCTGAGGCTCAGTCAATGGGCCAAAGGGAGGGGGTTAGGATGGGCTATTGCACTAGGATCTATATAAACCTATTTTGAACAAAGCACTCTTGCACTCTCTGGCTGACGCCATTTTGGGCGACACAAGGGTATCCTTTCTCGAGAAAGCCAATAAAGCAACTTTCCTTTTTGCAATTCTTGTCAAGACTCTGATTCAAATTTGGGTAGGTGGTCTTTTGTCCCACACAGTATCAAGCACTATAAAACCAAGGCCCTGGAGAAGGAGGGCCTCTCAGATCGTGAGAAAGATCTGAGGATTCAATCATTAGAGTAGACCATGTACATAAATGATTATTGGCTCAGAACTCTGCCTCAGCAATTTTTATTGCAAATTGGACATTTTTTGCAACCCATAATGCAAAGTCCTGCTCTCTTCTTCCAGCAGATGTACAAATAGAACGGGGTACCTCCTGGCCCCAAAGCGGAAAGTCATATCAAGGATACTGCTGTAGCCTTATAGAATTAGGAAGGCATCTCTATACAAAAAGGCCCAATAGCTTTTAACAACTTTGTTCTAGACAAAATTGTGAACAGATCACTATAATTATAGATGTCTCCTATTTTCTGGACCGCCCTCTTGAGGACTCCTTGCCTTGCTCCTAATCATACATATGAACACCTGGTACCCTCTTATAGCCAATCCTAGGACTTAAATTAGTTCACATTTTGTATGGCTTATTAATTTATAAATCTTATAATAGGGATGGCTCAATTTTAGGAAAATTATAAACATAACAGTCACACTAATGACAAAACAATAAATTGATTATATCAATAAATGCAGAAAAGAGCTTTTGATAAAATACAGCACTCATTTGTGTTAAAACACTGAAAAGTATTAAAAATACAGACCATTTCTTGATATGACTAACAGTATCTATGTAAAATCAAGAACTAGCATTTTTTGTAACAAAGATACTAGAAGTTTCTGATAAAATTACAAAGGACAAAGCAATGATGTCTGTGGTTGTTGCTATTATTTGATATAGTTCTAAAAAATGCTAATTATGGCAATGACAAGAAAATGAGAGAATGTGCATAGATAAAAAGGAGTCAAAATTTTCTCCATATGATGGCTCCTTCCACAAAGTCTTACTCCAATGCCTCATGGTGGCATGGTGACCCTAGGTTCTCAAAGGCAATGCTAGCAAGTTCCAGCAAGTTCTATCATGATGAAAAAAACCTTCAATTATGGCCTGAAAATAGAACAACTCTATTTTCCAAGGGCTAGTCTAGATAATTATAGTGAAGCACATCACCTGTAGACTGGCCAGCTAATGATGAATTTTTTTGGCCACAGCAATCCATGCAACAAAGAAAAATAAAACCTAGTCCTTGGAGCAGCACAGCAGTGGCAGAAAAGAGGGAAAGGGACAGAGGACTCTAAGAATCACTGAAGTTTTTTGTTTGTTTGTTTGTTTTTAGATTGTCCACAAACTTCAACTTGACTATTCGTAAATTTGAAATAATTTGTCTAATGATACACTCCTGGAGAAGCAGAATGAGATCAATATCATTCTTTCAATAAATGAAACCAGAAGAAAGAAGCTTTAACTAAATGGAAGGATGGCTCTCAAGTTCTCCTTGGACGCTAGAGAAAGGAGCTGGGGGAGATGGTTTAACATACAACCATAAGAAACAAGAAACATTATTGCATGAAATGTTTGGTCATTATATGTTGCAATATCAATGATAGGTATTTGCAAAAAGACTATGATGAAAGTAAATGCAGCTTATACCAATATCAGTTTCTGAGAATGAAGTTGAGAGAGAAATTTGACAAAGAACCTG